GAAGCATGGCCCCCGCCACTGGCTTGGTCTTTGCAGACGCTTTCAAAGGCAGGTCAAACAGGCAGCACCGCAAACACACCAAGAGCCTTCCACCTTCAGGCACCTCACCAGAGATCCCTTCTGCTTCTGCTCTTCCTTACGTGACAGCAAAGGAGAAAGATTCCATTTGGGGAAGAGAGCCGGCACTCAGAACGACCCTGATTCATGACTTTAAGGGTGCAAGGGGTTCCTACACCGACTCATCTACTGAAACAAATAGGAAGGAAAGAAATCCATTATGATCCTTGGAGAGCCAGTTTCCAGAGGGATAACCAACCCTGCTTCACTTTCTCTGTACTCCTTACCCTGCAGGGAAAAACTGCCCAGTCATTTCTGAGCAGATCTGCCTCATTCAGTTACTGACGCCACGGTGCAGCCCAGCACGCAGTTCCCTTTCTTGTGTGACTTGAAGGATGGTTATAGGAAGTCACACAGCCCCACGCAGTTAGGGATCTGGTTCCTTCGTCATTTCAGAGACATGTTGTCTCTGCTCTTTTCTCTCCCAACCACATCTCCTCTCTTCCTCTGCAGGCACTGCCTATGTGCTGTCATGTTACTTCACCAACTGGGCCCAGTATAGGCCTGGCCTGGGAAAATTCATGCCTGACAACATCGACCCGTGCCTGTGCGACCATCTGATCTACGCCTTTGCTGGCATGTCCAACAATGAGATCACAACTTACGAATGGAACGACGAGACCCTTTACAAATCCTTCAACGGCTTGAAGAACCAGTACGTACCAAGAGCAAAGGGCATCACTTATTCTGCCTCTCAGGTCGTCCCAGCATCTCTTCTCCACACAGTGGCAGCACAACTCAGAGTTGCGGGACGCCGGAGGAGAAGAGGCAGATAGTGATGGAGGGAAAAGGGAGAGCAGGGCAGGGCAGACTGCCAGCACCAGTCCTTTGAGGATGGGGACAGTGACTCAGTGCGCTGAGGACTTGCTCTTCGGAATTCACATCAAGAGATCATGGCCTACAAAGACAACTACACCAGATGTTTTCAAGAAACGCAAGAACCCTGTTGTTTCAATTGGTGTCTTGGTTAATGTTAGAAATTGGAGAGACTAAACCATTCCTTGTAGTGAAACATGTTCCTGTCCCTCCTTTTGCAGAAACAGAAACCTGAAGACTCTGCTGTCTATTGGAGGATGGAATTTCGGGTCAGACAAGTAAGTTCAAAACATCTCCTTCCCATAACAGCACACCCTGGAAAGGGAGGGAAAAGGGGGAAGAGTCACTAACCAAAGCCCAACTCGGTCCTGCTCTGCTTCCATAGGTTCTCCACAATGGTTTCCACGCCCCAGAACCGCCAGACCTTCATCAAGTCCGTCATCAAGTTCCTGCGCCAGTACCAATTTGATGGGCTTGACCTTGACTGGGAATACCCCGGCTCCAGGGGCAGCCCACCCCAGGACAAGGGTCTCTTCACTGTCCTCGTTAAGGTAGGCTGAAACAAAAGGTGTTGCTTGAGCCCGCTGCTCTGCACAGCTCTGGCTGCAAAGCCTCATGCCAGAGTCCACAGTGAGACCTGTTTCTTGGCATGCCTCAGGAAATGCTGGCAGCATTTGAGCAGGAAGCCAAACAGGTCAACAAGCCCCGTCTCATGGTCACTGCTGCTGTTGCTGCTGGAGTTTCCACCATTCAGGCTGGCTACGAGATTCCTGAGCTTGGGAAGTGAGTAGCAAACTCTCAGGTATTGTTTCTGTCCCCCAAGTGATCATCCTTTAAGCACTTAAGGGAAACTCTGCCGTTATCTGGCAGAAACCAACCTCATTGCGTGTGGGGTCCCTACTGCTTGCCTAGGCAAGAAGGCTACGAGAGTGGTGCTTGTTTGGTGGGAAAGGGGACACCTCAGGAAGGCAAGCGCAACCACAGGCTGGCGCCAGCCACTCAGTGCCACCAGGGAACATCTCTCCATTCCCGCAATACCAGCGCAATTCACACTCTGCCTTCACCTCTGCCTCCCTCCCCTGGCAGAGAGAATCAGCTCCAGCACTTAAAAGGCCAGCTTGAAACAAGTCTGGGAGAGCCCAGATTTGCAGAAAGTGGGGACATGGCCAGGGATGTGGTGGGGTAAATGGCCAGCGCTATAGGAACAATCAGGTCTGGGTGACTGAACAGGCCAGGAGATAGACGCAAGCAATGTTCTCCACAGGTACTTGGACTACATCCACGTGATGACTTATGACTTCCACGGCTCCTGGGATAGAAACACTGGGGAGAACAGCCCTCTGTACAAAGGCCCAGCTGACACCGGGGACTACGTCTACTTCAATGTTGTGAGTATATTTTGCAAGCCTGTGTCACAAATCTCAGTTCTGTGACCACACCAGTGATGAGAAGCTTAGAAATCTGTCGTTCTGCCTACAAATCCTGGTAAAGACTTGAACAGTAAAGTTTTCTTATAGGATTATGCTATGAATTATTGGAAGAGCAATGGTGCCCCAGCAGAGAAACTAGTTGTTGGATTTCCAGCATACGGAAATACCTTCACACTGCAAAACCCATCTGACAATGGTCTTGGTGCACCAGCATCAGGCCCTGGGCCAGCTGGACCTTACACACAGGAGGCCGGGACACTGGCTTACTATGAGGTATGTATATTCTAATCACCTCAGTTTTTCAAATCATTTTAAGGAAGACAACCACGGAGCTTTCTAAATGGCTACCTCAGACACAAAACTGTCGACAGAATTGCAGAAAAGCAAATTAAAATAGTAGAGAGAATGTGCACCTGAAAATAAACGTATTATTCATAAACTGAGTGTTACTATGCAGTTTAGCAGCAATGGTTTGATATAGACAAATAGGCCTTTCTGAAATATAAAGATGATCCCTCCAGTACAATAAGAGAAATTACTAATATTATTTTTAGTGTCCAAAAGGCAAGGTGTAGGAAGGGGACGTTATACTTGATCTTTTCCCAGTATAATCTTATGTGTCCAAATAAGCCTTGGAAGTTCTTGAGCTCATTTCACGAAACTTAAGAAAAAATTACTTATTCTCGGGACCAGATAAATGACATAAAACTAGAGAATAAAGTCAAGGTAATGGCAGAGCACGGACTTTTCCATCTTTGTATGATATTCAATAAAATTCCACCTCTTGGTCCTTCTCCCTAGATCTGCACTCTCTTGAATTCTGGAGCCACCGAGGTTTGGGATACCCCCCAGGACGTGCCCTACACTTACAAAGGCAAGGAATGGGTTGGCTATGACAACATCAAGAGCTACAAGATCAAGGTACGATGGGATGTGTGGTTGTGCTACAAATAAGGCAGGAGGCCCTCTGCAGTCTCAGGTCCCAGGACTAATCGGGATCTCTCCCCTGGCACTGAACAGGTTGACTGGCTGAAGAAGAACAATTTTGGAGGTGCTATGGTCTGGGCTCTTGATCTGGATGACTTCACTGGCACTTTCTGCAAGGAAGGCAAATATCCCCTGATCACCACCCTGAAGAACGGACTTGGTCTGCAAAACAGCGGTGAGTAGCTTGGGTAGCCCCTGCTTCTCCAAGGTGACTCCTGAGTTCACTGCTGATGCAGGGCTTGAGAGACCCACAAACCTTTCTCTCTGGAGCCTTGGTGGAGAAAGACTTTCTGTGGAAGCCACAACCAGCGATTGCCCTGGGTATGGGGGGAACACCCTTTAACAGCTGACCCCACCACTAAAGGGCCTAGGGAGGGAGGGGAGGGCTGAGAGGCTGTCTACACAGAAGTGAGCCCTTTCCTGCTTTTCTTTTAGACTGCGTGTCCCCGCCTCAGCCCAATCCTCCCATCACTGAAGCTCCTAACCAGGGAAGTGGCAGTGGGAGCGGGGGCTCAGGTGGTGGCTCTGGTGGGAGCGGTTTCTGTGCTGGCAAGGCCAACGGCATCTACGCAGATCCAACCAACAAGAGCAACTTCTACAACTGCGTTAATGGTGAAACCTTCATGCAGACCTGCCAGAACGGTCTCGTCTTTGATCCCAGCTGCTCCTGCTGCAACTGGCCATGAAGATACAAATCCTATTACCCCAAACAGACCCCTCTGATCTAATTGCACAGAATAAGAATGATTAAATAAAGTGTTCTGCAAAAGCAACAATCCTCACTGTTTCTACTCGTCTCGATCTTACTATTTTGATGCTCCCTGATTCTCTCATGATACTTACATTTGTGCTCGGGGAAGGGCCTGAATGCACAGCCTGGACTTAATTTTGGTGGGGTATTTTCCAGGGATTTCTTGCTGCCCTACCTGGACAGCCGGGCACAGGGAAAAAGACAGAGAGCAGACAATGGGGCAGACTGGGCTGTGCCACAAGAGAGATCACAGAGAAGCACACTAACAGCCCAACCTATAGAGTGCTTCCCCAGAGACCTCTCCAGTACTGACTTACAGCATGAGGACAGCATCTCCTGGGAGTGGGAGCCAGCACAGCACAATCCACAGGGACATTATTAATCCTTTTCTTTTCACTGCACCCTTCAGGGACTGCCATTGCCAGCATTCCCTTTGGCACCCCTAGGTCCGTGTCTATAGCAACTGGAGTACACACACATCCTCACGTCTTGCAGGGCAGCATGGCAGCAGTGTGGGAGCTGAGAGGTGAGCTGTGCGAGGTGCGTGAACCGGGGGGGCTGTGGGCACCAGGGCTTTCCTTGCCACTGAGAAGCTGCGTGACATCAGACTTCCCCAGCAACCTTCCCCACAACTGGGGTGCTAGGTTACTCTGTGCTGAGGCTGGGGAAAAAGAAGCCTTTATGGCAGGAGCGAAGAGGCATCCAAAAGGCAGACCCCTCACAAATATCCAGGGTCATGGGAAATTCCCACCTGGGGGAGAAGGGGGCCGTTGGCCTCAGGTAGAGAGCAGCAGACACTTAGGAAGGTAAAAAAGCAGCAAATGGTCACCTCCGCATGGGTTTAGCACACTGGTGGCACTCCCCTCTCCTGGTCTCACAGATGTGCAGAAGCGGATCTCATTTGGATCATGTCAAGAGCGGAAAATGTTCCCTCTCCACCATGCCCCAGACAGGCTGGGAATTCAGCTGATAGCCATCAGGGGAGACCCTTCACTTGGGCCAGGCTGTTACCTGAGTCAAGAGGTAAGTTGTTCAGTTTTTGTGCTCAGAGCTTTTCCTTCAAAGAACACACTCTGTACAGCAACAATAGGACCATGGCCAGACAGTCACAGAGCCCCCACACCTGCCCTGCAAACCAATTGTACAAGGTCTCCACATATGCCTAGAAAAAGAAATTCCCCTCCCCTTCCAAATGTACCAGTCCTGAAAGCTTCAGCTGCCCTAGTGCTCTACATTAGTGAGTAATTAGAGGAATTTGTAGGAATAACGTCTGCTGCTCATGTACTTCTGCCCTTCCCCTGGTGCAAATGGTGTCTTAAAAATGTCAGTAAGACACTTCTGCTTTTGAATCGCAGAGAAGCAGCCTCATATACTCTTTGGAAAACAAACCACTGAGCAAGAAAGGCTATGTGATAGGAGCGAGAACAGCCCAGCGTTTCGTACCAGAGCCACAGGTAAGAAAAGCACACTTCAAAGAGCTGCAGCTTTGCTAGAATTTGTAGGCTGTTCCCGACATAGACTATCAATCACATTTGCTGGGGCTGCCTCCAGCTTACATATAGTCTCCTTACAGATAGTCTAGTGGGAGGTGTTGAGCCTAGAGACCAATGACTGACCATATGAGCTCTGGCAACATGGACATATGCATTTGTACATACACATTCCTTTGTGTCACATACACATACGTAAATATACATATTGAGGCAAAATCAGGGAGGGAGCTCAGCTATACTACCTTATCAAACATGGTATGTTTTCTTGTCCAACTTCTCTAGAATAACAATGTATTAGGAGAGATATCCCTAATATATGGAGACACACAGGAGAGACACTGGGTAAGGAGTAGCAATTGCACAACTGACTTGTTCTGATCTTTTTACCCTCTCAGAGTAGCCAAAGCATACATTGAACAGCAGGTCTGTAATGCCCAGCTGGCTGCTGATCAGAGCATGTAGGAAACGTTTGCAGAACAAAGCCTTCCATACAGAAATTTTCTCTCTTGCAGGCTGTGACTCCCAGCCCAGCAACATACCAGTCATTCTGGAAGAAAGAAAGAAAATGCCAGCCTGCCTATGCTCCATTTTCCATTAAGACACCACGATTTCCAGATAAGCCTTCAGATAAAGAGTTTTTCCCTGGGTAATGTAATTCATTTTCTTACACTTTTAATAACAAGCAGGAGTACTAGCAGAGAGAAATATTAAGGCACAAATGGGAGATAGGTAACTGAGTTCCCAGTAATGCTTTTTTCTCTTCAAAAAGCTCCCCTGCTTTAGTCTTTAACTTAGCATGATGACTAGAATACCACAACATGCATGTCTCCCATAGATCGAGATAGGGCTCATAAATTCTGGTATTACAAACATCGTAACCAGCTCCACAAATGAGGCCTGTTTTCTTTAGGCCTGGAACTTACGAAGCAGACAAGCGATTACACAAAAAAATCACTTGGCCAATGAAGTTTGGGTCTCCAGACTGGTCTTTAGTGCCGATGCCAGCAAAGAGGATGATAAAAATGGAGGTACAGAAGGTAAGGACAGGGATAAGGGGATGTCATTCCTGGCTTAAAGTTTCTGACAAAGGAAATTATACAATTACTTCAATGCATTTGCACTATGTTTTGGCATCCTTTCCTCACTAGCCTGTTGTGTATGTGACTCTACTAGCCTGGGGCACAAGATACAAAGTGATTTTCTATCAGAAAACGCTGGTTTGCAAAAACAGTTACAGTCCTTCAAAACAAAACTTCTATTAAGAAATTTGCTCTGGAAGTTTCCATCCACAAAGTGAGAGAACCAGAGCACAGACTTCCCCGTGGAGCTCTGCTGGAAAGAAAACCTTTCCGATTTAAAACATAGGTTAAGGTTCTCGACACCATCTCACGTCTTCCTGCACTTTTCTGAAGCAATTTCCATTGGTAATGTCTAACAGATAGTAGTTGTCTTTTAGCTGACCATAGACAGAGAATTCAGGAAACACCGGGACCGAGTGGCCTACCTGAGTTTATACTACACCTGAGGAGCCAGAGCTGCCGCCATACGTCCTCCCCTCCAGTGGGGCCGCTCAGGCCTCACCTCCACTTCCCACCCACTCGAAAAGACATTCATCTGCACTACCCCACCTCTCCAAATAAACACATTTTTAAAAGAGGTATTTCTTGCCACTAGTTGTGCTTACCTTCTATCACACATGGGGTCTGCTGCCTCTGTGGGTGTTTGGGAGCTGCCGGGGCCCACATACAGCACTCCTCAGCCCCTCATCCCAGGTGATCCTGGCGGCCATTTTCTCTGGGTTGCCATGGAAACACCTCACCTAATGGCCCTGCACGACATGGTTTTCCTCGCCACAGGGGGCTTTTCCCTCCAAAATCCAGCCCTCCCTGGCACCAGAGAGGAGCCAAATTAACACATCTAGAGGGTGGCTCTTCTGCTGTCCTGTCTCCTCAGCACTGGGAGCAAATGCCACCATCTTCTCCTCAGCCGTCACCTGCCTTCCCCGGCCTCCTCACCGCCATCTCTTCATCTCCAACAGACGCTCCAGGCCGGGCTCAGGGGTTCACCCACAGCCTGAGGAGAGCTGAGAAACATGGGGGTGTACATGGCAGAGCCACCTGTACTGCGCTGCCCTCAGGTATGTTCAGAGAGAGTATAATGGCTTTGCGCACAGCCAGCAACTATATTAAAGTCT